TAAAAGTCTAAATGATTTTACGACAGCATATTATGACATCAGCTGTTATTTAATATCCATTTGGTTATTAAAACATTACTTTGGCCAAGCGGCTAAATGATTAAACTGCCGTTGAAAGAGCAAAACATAAATTTACATACGCTATATGGCCTCACGTTTCAAAACAAGCTTTAATGGTAAGGTTTCATGTCTTTTACGAACAGAAATTTTCAGCAACACAAGAACTGAAAATCTACAACTGTTCACAATACCTTCCTTTACGAATATTACTTGCAAAAAATTAAGCATTCAGTTTCCAAATACTCTATTTCATTAAACGGCAATTTTGATGAAAAACTTTCTTTCAGTGGTTTATGCGTTGGTCAGTTTGAAACTGAGCGTTAATTGTAGCGTAGAAGAAATCGAGCTCAAGTTGCCTTTAAAAGGACTTTGACAGAAATTTTGTTTGACAGAAATTTATAAAAATGACGATCACCCAAGAATTACACTTGCGCACGAAAGCAAAAATATCACCTATTAACCCATGCTATTTAGTTGCCCGATGTTCGCACTTAGCTTGAAACTTGAATGTGCAACTTTGATCTATCTTGTTTTATGTATCGAAGTTTGTACAGCTTTATCTATACAGCAAAGAACATTCTACAACAGACTGTCAAACAACTATCTTCATTAACAAATGAGGCAGTAGCTCTTTTCAGCAAAACCAAAAGCACTAAATGTTATCAAAGTGAATTTCAGTTCCTTGCCATTTTCATTCATCGTAAATATCAAACAGCATTTAAGTGCTACAGCAAGTAAAAGAAAGGAGACAAAACTCTTAGTTGCTGTAGAAAGCAACGTGTAACTCTTTGGTAATTATTTTGAAATGTTTCATATAAATGTAACTTCCCTGCAGCTTGACGCACTCTGATTGCTTTCTTTTCTCCAATTCCTTATGCTGTCTAGAACGCTTAGATAAGGAATAATTCACAGAGTTTTTATATCACTTGGTTAAGTGCATGTTGAGTCATGTTGCTCCTTGAGTATTCTTCCATGTTGCAAGAAAACTTTAGATCCATAGTTCAAGTCTGACATTTTCATCGTTGTTTTTATGTTAACAGACAACGAACGTATAAGAGACGATCTATAATAAGGTTGCCTTTTAACAATCTTGCTTTGGTTTCTGATTATAAAGAAATGCTAAGTAAAACGAATATATTTTCAAATTAGAATTCTGAATTCCTATCCACAAATGCTCAATTCACAAGTCATAATCTAAACACCAACAAAGCAATTTTTAGTTTACGCTCGTATGTAAATTCAAGGGAGAAAAATAAAAGAAATGGCTTTTTAGTAATAAAATATTCTTGAAGGTAATTCTGGTTTCAAATGATCAGCAGGTCCACTGAAAGGACCTTCATTGTGTTTGTCTACGCCAGCCTCTGTCAAAAAAGCTTCAAATTTCACAAAAAAGTCAGACGACAAAGTCTGAATGATGCCCAATATCGTATTTAGATTTCGGGACACATTTTTCATTTCTCACTCGGATAAATTTGAACAAACACCATATGTGCTTAAGCATTGCGTCGGAATAACGATAAAAATGCATTCACTGTTTATGAAAGTATGGTAACTGATTTATTTTGCACGCAAAGAATGGTTCTTGACTGATAAAAAGCATGTTCAGAGAAAAAGATATGGTAGAAAAATAATCATGATAGAAATGCCTGTACGCGCAAATGATCGCAAACTCTTTTCAAATTGGCAGACAAATCAACATTGCTTCAGAAAAGGCATTTTGAAATTAGAAGATTTTGAAGAGATTTACTCAGTGTTATAAGAATTGTTCTAATATCAAAGAAAAGCACAGGAACTAGAATTTTATGAAATTTTTCTAGCTAGTAAAAGAGCCTTTAACTATTTGAGACCAGTAAACGCTCTTTGCCTCAGAAAGTTTTAGCAAATGTGCCAAGCATGGCATTTAATGCAACAAATATCTTAGTTTCCAAGATCCTTTGGTATGTTTTTACACGATTGGAAGTTGATAGACACTTGAGATACTGTGAATCTTTGTGAAGGCCGTACTTAAATTTATTGCTCAAACAAATTGGCGTACGAAACACGAAACATAATGAAAGGAAACTGAATGTGTTGCCCCGCGCTTGCAAGATAATATTCACTTTTTTACATAAATCGCTCAATATGACCATTAAAACGTGTTATAATGGTGTTTACTTTCTTTGAAAAAACACTGATCTGCATTATTCATATTTGACAGACATCTGGAGGCTAAGTATATTGTAGAAGCTTACAGAAAGGTGTTTTTCTGTTTATGTGTTTATGACAGAGATTTTGACAAGTGAAAAAATAAGATTGCAAAATATTATCTATTTCCCTTGATCTTTGTTTCGTCTTAGAACAAGCAGTTTCTCTACAAGTAGAAACAAACAATTGATAACGAGCAATCTTTTGTAAGAATTTAACTTATCTGATTAAAAGTAAATTGAAAATGTCAATATAAAACTTTATAGTTTTCCAAAGCAGAGATAACGGCTTTGAATAAATTCAAATTTCTAACTGGATATTTTTTGAGCTTTTGTAGTAGACGTTTTATTTGGTAAACATTGTCTGGTTTTTTCCTGTTTATTTAGTCTCAGTTTAAGTTGTCGATGAATGTCTCTGCTACTACACCCATCTGGAGGAATAAAGAAGCAAACTTGAAATGATCTAAATATTTATTTTCATCATATTCATTTCCTGTTATATTCTAATGCTATTGTCATAGTTGTATTATAAAAGGTTGTCAAAAAATCGTTGTAGATTGCAGTATTGTGAAAACACATTCGCAAATTATTGAAAGATTTTAAAATGAATAAACTTAGCATAAAGAAAATTTTTTGTATTTGTGTCATGTTTTTATAAACTGAATAGTTTTTATTTTTTCTTTTATTTAATTCGGCATACTGTCACAAATGACATTTAACGCTTTTTCGCAGTTCAAGGTTTTTTATCATCAATTTTTTTAGTTGAGAAGTATGTTGAAACGTTGTTATCAACAAGTCGCATTTGAATTGAGATTTGATTGCGTAATCTAGTCAATAAAGCTTAAAGAGAATTGAATGGAGGAAGAGTCAAATATCAATCTAACGAAAAAAACTCTAACTTTTGTATAGCCTTATATTTCTATCACAAATGTTTTATCTACTCTGATAACCGTTATTACACAACACTTAACATTTTAAAAAAAATTCACTCCTTAAAAAGCAAAGCCTTAAATGTCAAAATAAACAAACAAATCAGAAAATAATCAAGATGTCATTTCAAGATAAAATTGAACCTCTGTATTGTATATCGCATGTTAAAGCCAGAACCTATTGTATCTTTATGTCGCCGTTTGAAATTTATTTGGAAAAAAATGCTTTGTTCTGTCTGATAACCGATTTTTGCTGAACCGAATTTGAAATGCCAACGAAGAAGGTATTAAAAGCCTACCGCTTTAAATTCACAAAAAATGGTTTATCACTCGCAGGAGAAAAATATGGCTTGCAGACTTTGCAGAGATCCTCATAGCAAAGGATGATGATACTTTACACTTCCAACAGTATTGCTTAAATTTCAACAAGAAGCTATAGCTCGATTCCTAACAAATATTTCTGATATATTCTTGTAAAGTAGCAAATAAGACTTCCGTCAAATACAAGCTTTCCAATAGCTCGATTTCTAACAAATATTTCTGATATATTTTTGTTAAGTTGCAAACAAGACTTCCGTCAAATACAAGCTTTCCAATAGCTCGATTCCTAACAAATATTTCTGATATATTTTTGTAAAGTTGCAAACAAGACTTCCGTCAAATACAAGCTTTTCAATAGCTCGATTCCTAACAAATATTTCTGATATATTTTTGTAAAGTAGCAAACAAGACTTCCGTCAAATACAAGCTTTTCAATAGCTCGATTCCTAGAAATATTTCTGATATATTTTTGTAAAGGAGCAAACAAGACTTTCATCAAATAAAAGCTTTTCAGTGGCTTCTTGTATAACTGTATTTCCTATTTTCAGATACCTGGTAAAATTCAGCATTGGTGTTTTGCAAAGAAAATGTTTTTAAACGGGACACTTCGGACCATCCACCTAAATAGACTGCCACAAGTAAACGATTTTCATGTCTGTGTGAACAAGAGAAATGACCAATAGCGACAAAATGTTTTTCAATGATTATATTTTTAAGAGATATTCAATGAATGTATGAGATGTTAATAACACAAGCAATCAGATAGTGATTAAAGGCTGCAAAAAAGTTTTAAGTGTTCGTAAGTCTATCAGTGCAAACGAAAACGTTTTATATGAAAACAGAGTTATTCAGAATAAAATTTTATTGTTGTAAAGGTTCAAAAGTATAGTTTCAAAAGTTGCAAAACTACAACCTTATTGCTGTCGTAAATGAATACCTGCGATGGAATGGCTATTGCTCTGAAGACAGAGAAATAGCAACAATTATTGAGAAATGGGATGTTATTGAGATATATACATCCATTCTTTCAAGTTGGTATATTCCTTGAAATGTTTGAAGAGCAGTAATTGAAGGCAGATAGCTGTCATTTCCAGTGACATAAACGTACCAATATCTTAAAAACTGAAGGGAAAATTGCCTCTTTTGATGAGAAACTAACGATGATGAAAAAAATATTTAAGTTCATAATAAAAAAACATGAATGGATCCTCGGAAAATGTCATGTCTTTAGCTGGATAGGCTTTTATCTAGCTTAAATAAACAAAAAAAAATGAAAAAAAGTTCAATTTTAGTTTTCATGAACAAATATTTTCCGATCATTTTATATTCTGTTGTACTACGCACAAGACCAAACTATTTTTGCACGCAACTTATACCAATTTTGCACGCAACTTCCAATATATTTTGTTGCAAGGTACTTTACAATATCATTCAACTTTATTATCAATCTTCAGTATTGTTGCCTAAGTTCGGCATACTATTTTTGATATATCAACTGTAACAAGAACGTTTTGAAGCGACTTCAGACTTCAGATAACAAAGATAAAATAACAAAATGAAATATTTATTGATTAGGAAAGCACCGTTTGATTGAAAACTCTTGGATTGAAAACAGTTTTAAATGGTCAAGCAATAGACATTTTGGTCAATTTGTCTCTTAATAGCAAACATTAGCATTTTTTATGATATAAGTTTCCTACGTGGTGTTAAAGATGCACAGGTATAAACATGTATTTGGTTGGTCACATGCTTGGTGCTTGATTTTTAATCCCGATCAAACTAAACAAGCAGTTGAAATGACATTTTTAATAAACAAAATTTCAGCCGATCATCCACCAGTTTAATTCAATGACATCCCTGTTATCAAAATGAAAGAACATATACTTCTTGGCATCATGTTTGATACCAAATTGTCATTTGCCACTCACTTTCAGTCAATTATACTAGAATGTAGACACGGAAAAGGAAAAATAACATTTTTTCAAAATATTTGCCCCACAACACTATAAATGAATTTTATAAATTGTATGTGCAGCCACACTTAGATTACGGTGATGTCATTCACAATACCCCACCCAAAAAATGCGACTACAATCATATGGAAAAATTTGAATCAATTCAATATTCTGCTGCACTAGCAGTGACTGGAGAATGGAAAGGAACATCTCGTGAAAAACTCTACGACGAACTTGGCTGGGAATCCCTAAGCCTACGACGTTGGAGCAGACGCCTTGTTCTTTTTGACAAGATTGTCAACGATATTACTCCTGACTACACAAGATACCCTATTCCACAATTACCACAAGCTATGTACTCTTTTAGTAATGCAGATGTAGTTGGGCACATAAGGGTAAGAACGACAAGATTCAAGAACAGCCTTTATCCCGACTGTCTCTCTGAGTGGAACACACTTGTCCTAGAGATTAGGTTATCACTATCACTAAGTATTTTTAAAACAAAATTATCGAAACTTATCCGACCCACTTCTCAACTAGTATACGGTATTCATGATGCAAAAGATCTATTTATCCTAGATCTGATGTTCTCAACAGTGTGAATGCAATATTGCTCCCAAATGGTTTTTCGGCATCTAATTTTTGTCTGTTTACTCTGTATTCGTAATTATTTTACCTAGTTTTAGTTTTATTTATTTCTATCTTTGTTTAATGTTGTGCGTTTATATGCATCGGCCATGGGGTAGTCATTTCGCTCTTCATGGCATCATACCCATAGTGTAGTACAGTAATTAGGGTAATATAGTCGAATGTAAAATTGTATTGCAATTATTTTCTATGAATAAAGAAAAACTGTTTTTGGTATAAAGAACAGGGCGGTTCTACCTCGCTACTCCGAGATTCATGCTTATTGCAATCACCATGCAATGATACTTATTATTGCATTAAGAAGCGTAAAACCAGGAGAAGCAACTTAGAGCCGTCCTGTTCTATATGCCAGAGGCGTGTACAGATCTGCCTATACTGCATCTTAAGCACTTAATCACAGGCCGGTAGAAAAATATTTTCTATTTCAACTTCTAACTAGTTGCACCAATGGTTGATGATTTTTTTCTCAAGGTTTGCAATGACGACCAGTTCATTATCCACCTGTTCATTGGCTTCCTAGTTCCATTAGCTAGCTTATGCCGGTCTTAAGCTACCCTAAAGCAATTTTACTAACCTCATTCATTTCTTTCATTTTAAGCACACAGTTGAAATAGTGAAGTTGTAGAAATAAATTCTTATAATTGCGATTTTATCCGGAAAGCAAATATACTGACTAATTTTCGCGCTTATTTAATTCGACTTTCTATCATTAAGAGAGTACGACACTACTTGCTTATGTGAAGTGCCTGCAATTAGGGCTAATTTTTTTGCAACATGTATCCAACTTCACTGCTGATTGGTTTAGCATTGTGAAGGTGTAATCAAACTATTTTTTGTCACCAAAACGGCGGTTTTAGAAGATGAAAAATTCTAATATTACATTTTGATTAAAAAATAAAAGATATAAGCCGCCTAATTTTCATTACATGTAACGGAATGGACAAATCAGAAATTCTCGAAAAAACGTTTGGGACAGGTTTCTCAATTGTGCTTAGAGTGAATCTCTTGAATGCAAGTTTGGCGTTACCGACATGCAAATCTTGATAGGTTTGCGAAGAAAGTGCCTAACAAAACCTTCTGCCTGCCACTGTACTGACTACAAAATCGTATTCGGTGCAACTTGTTTACGCATTGGCTGTCAGTGTTACAAATACCAGACATGCTTTTATTAATTCAAAATAGATACAGGCCTGTTTGATCCAAATAAGATAAGACAAGATTCACGTAAAAGCAGGAAATTTCTATAGCTTCAAATATGAATAGGTTGTTGTGATTTGGGTGGCCACCTCTGGTGTGTTTGCAGCTTTCAAATAACAGTATATTGTGGACCAAACTGCATAGTCCTGTTAAAGCTTAATAAAACTGCACATCAAATACGCTAGAAATGAGCCTTTTATTTGCCGCCATTGTTATAAATTATGAATCAACTTAAAGAGAACAGGGAAAACCAGACCTAAATTTATTTTTCAATTTGAGGGAATAAGCAGTTGGCGATAGGAGGAAATTTGCGGTGCATGGTTTTTTGAATACCTTTGTTTAAGTGTCTTAAACCATTTCGGGTCGCGTTCTCAGACCAGTGACAAGCTAAACCTTTTTGGATAAGCTCAGGGTATAGAAGGATTATCGCTAGAGCGTTTCTGTTTTTGAATAGCGCTTCCAAGACAAGAGCTTCTTTACAAGTACGTTAGACCACGCAATAAAAGACATCGACCAAATGGCATTTCCACTATATTTAAAGGGGAAAAATTCGCTGATTTCTAACGACTATCTTGAAAATATTTGAAACTTAGTATTCAGTATAATTTTTTTGCAATCATGATAGTTGATTTTTTCAATGCGTTTATAAAAAAACCAACTCCAAATTTGTGTGAGAAAAGGAAACGTTTGATACAGACAAGATACCAGGCGCCTAAAAAAAAGTCAGAAATTTTTCCAACGTCACTGGTATAAACTCATTTAGAACCTATGCACTCTGAATCGAAAGATACTTGGAGAAAATAACAAATATATGGAGAAAAAGGTGAAGAAGTTTGTTTTAGATCAAATGACGAATTGATTGATTATAAAAGTCTAATGAACCATCAGCAGATAGGAGAAAAGAAACTAAAATAAACTCAAAAGCCATTATCAATTTGGAACCATTCTAAGATCCAAAAACAAAAACTCCGAAACAAGTGGTAATCATTGGTGTAGTGTCCGAAAAAAACTGGTTACTCACAAAGGTTGTAATTTCTTCTGATAAAGTATACTCCTTTTTACATACATTGCAAGAAATTTGCTTTTGTATCTCTAAAATGATGCCAAATTTGGCTCTTTGATATTGCCAATTTCATTAAGTTATTTGATCAATTAGCTTTGGTAGACTTTAAAAAGCAAAGGCTGTTATCGTCAATTATGACTGTACTATGGCATCTATAAAACCTCTTTCTTCTGATCTAGGCTAACGATATGCAACTGGTTCAACTGGTGTTAGCGTGATAGCTATTTTTGGTTTTTTGTACTGGGAATATAAACATGTCTTTACCACTAGTTGTTGTTGTTGCATCTCTTTTAATGACCAAAGTAATTTGAAGAAGTCAGATATGATAGAACAAAATACAAGTAAAAATGACAAAATAATTTTGTCAGTTTTACGCGATGATATCTTCATTTTTGACATAACCGAGATTAAATAATTTCAATATCCACAATTATGAACCTTGAGTGAAGGGGTATCAAACAGCAGGAAAATTTTCAGATTTGACCTTTCTGTGATAAGCTCCCTATTGGTTTTATGTTGCATTTGTCTAATTGCATCATATGTATCGCAGCCCCCCACATCACTATACAATGCCCTACTGAGGCTCCGAGTGGCTTCTTGGAATAAAATTCTCCTGTTTGGGTTTTTAATTTCATTCATTGCTATTTTGGTAATTGGCCTAGTCATAGGACCATTCTGCTTTTAAGAAAAATTTAACAACTAACTTATTAATAAGGAATTTCCAAACAAAGAAAGTCCGGTAAAAATTGTTTGTAACTCTTTGGCTGAATCTTCGATACAAAAGTTACATTTAGATTGTTTGAATCAAACTTTCTTTCTAAACTAAGGAAAAACCGTGCTTATAACTTTTAACAAAACAATGACGCCATTAATGACTGGCTAAGCTTCTCCATGACAACGTTAATTTACAACTAGGCCGCCAGTCTCAGTGATAATTCCAAAATGACAGCCGATTCAAAATTTTCTATTTATCTGGAAACTGGTAGACAACTTTGTCAGATGGAAGAGCTGTTCAGAAGGACATTGTAGGCCATGGTATGCTATCTCAGGAGAATATCAATCTCAGCTTGCTTTTCTCAATTATCTACTTTTAACTATAAGAAACAAAGATGAAATGACATACCAAGACAAAGATGAAAAGAGTGTGTTAAAGGTTAGTCATACCAAACATTCTAATGCTAAATTTCAAAGAATGTAAAATGACAAGTAGACAACTTGAGGTCTAGGTCTAAAAGAAGATGTGTTTTGTAAGATTATTGCCCAGCAGCATTGATATAGAAATTGAATAAGAAAGTGAAAATGAGTCGAATAAAGAAGAAATAAGAAATAATCTTAGCTTAGTAGGTATTTGCTTTTGCTTTTGACATCAAATTTCAGCATGACGTTGCAATTTAAAAATGACGATCATTATCAAGGTAACTTGACGATCGTGTCCTGATTTTGGTAAAACTTTGGTATTACGCCGGATCGAGCTAACTAATTTAAGTTTTAAAATGTTACGCAGCACTCAGAAGAGAACAATTTCGATCTTGAATCATTGTGAAGACAAAAGTTTAACACGAAAAAACTTTGTATTAAAGAAGATCAGCTTTCTTATAAATCTTTACATTGATGCACTTGCTTGAGAATATTTAAAAATATTAAAGTGGAGCTAGTTGAGTACATCAAGACCTTCGTTGTAGTTCGTTAACTAACTGAAACTTAAGAGAGTTGAATTGTTTGACAGAAACTAAGCTGGAATTAAATGGCACTTATAGATATAAAGGTTGCTAGGCTTGTTTGACCTTTGGGTAAAAATTCGTAAGTTTTCCCCCAGTTAGATTTTCTAGACACTATTTCTTAAAAACTTCAGCCCTGGACATTGTGGGTTGAAAAAAGAGCTGTTTCAGATGCAGACTTAGGTACCTAAAGCAGCGCGATTATTAGTATTTTTTAGATTTTTCTTCTAAGGCAACATTTGGGTCCGGAAACAAAAGGAGGCTCACTAAGAGGCAAAAGGAGGCAAAACTACGTCGTACTTCTCACTAGAACTTAAGTCATGCTTAGGTCAAAACGTGTCTTAAATTTTGTCAAAAGTCAGTACTTTGTGTATCGATAACATACCTACAGAATTTTGGCTCTAAAATTTATATATGCTGGTATGTACGATCCTTCCCAGAAATTGTTCCAACATCAAAATCTTCACTTTCAAAAGTTGACAATCCCATGACTTAAGTACCTTTCGAAGATAAAGACTCTGTCACCGCATTCTTTTCCTCTCGATCTTAGAATATTGACTCTTTCATTAGGAGTGTTTGTGAGTCTAGTCCTAGTTCGAATGTCACTGACAGTCATGCAATATTGATAATACGCCAAATTAAAGCGGGGGACGGGGAAACAACTCCTAAAAACTTAAATGGTTTTTGTAGGTGTTGCAAAAATTCTATGACTAAAGATTGTATGACTAATTTTAAAGAAGCATTACAGCTGTAAAAGTTGTTAACACTCTTCCGCTCCGCATTCAAGTGTTCGTTGAAATTTAGAAATAATTTACAATAATGTTAAAAACAATCAAATCTAAGTATTACCAAGCTATTTCAAGATAGTAGAATTCTGATGATACAGCAGAAATGAGCTAAAGAAAATTGTCTGATGGCACTTGATTGACGTAAGGACAGGTTAAGTCTGTTTAATGAGTTTTCCAACTGCCAGATTCAAAAAGCGCTTGCGAAAAAGCTTCTTTCTACACCGATAATATTACTGGATGACTAAAAATAACTCTGTTTCTAGCTGAGCGACAATGGTATTGGGCACAAAATCCTGTGTATTAACTTAGAACTGTCTTATATAAACACAAAGTTGTGAACAACTTTGTTTAAGGACAACGAGCCGTGACACAGATCGGGTAACAAATATTTTCTATTTCAAATGAAAATGGAAACAGTTTTCTGTAATGTTAAAAAAATCCATTTGGAATAAAAAGAGAATAAAAATAAACCAGTACATAAGCTTATATAAACACAAAGTTGTGAACAACTTTGTTTAAGGACAACGAGCCGTGACACAGATCGGGTAACAAATATTTTCTATTTCAAATGAAAATGGAAACAGTTTTCTGTAATGTTAAAAAAATCCATTTGGAATAAAAAGAGAATAAAAATAAACCAGTACATAAGCATGAAAGACTAGGAAAAAGCTATGACAGACAAATATGAAAATGTTAAATTTATAGATACTATAAATAAATACGTTGGAAATTTACAAAAAGTGTCTACGATCGTAATTTTTAAGAAGGTCTTTTTACCTTTTATAAACCTTTATAGGTCTTTTTAGCTTTTATAAACCTTTATAGGTCTTTTTAGCTTTTAAAGAGATTAACGTAGACCTTTATGGGTGATGGTATTTATAATTTGTAAAAATCTCAAAGTATAAGCACTTTGTACTAAAAAAACTTTATATATTTTGGAATAAAGTTTATTTCAGTATTATGGGCAGATTAATCCAAATTTAAATTCGGATTTAGATTTTGTTTCTCTTGTTTTTGAAAAGTGAAAAAATTTTAATATTGTTTCGAAATACTTAAATATTGTTACTTTTTTATGATTCATACTGAGGCTTTTCGTCTGACACTTTTCACAGAATGAAATGACAGAATATTGGTTGAAAACTCTAAGCTAAGAAATTTATACACCTAATTGTTGATCAAAATAGGCAAAAGTGTCAGACGAAAGCTGAGGTATGTTTAAAAATATTTGCTCATTTCAAAGCCATTTCAAAATTGTGTACTGTGAAAGATGTTTTTTTAGTCTCTTGATGGAGAAAAGTCTCATCTTAATGGAGATACGGTAATCAGGTGATGTTTCCATATAATTGAATTTTTGTTTCTTTTGTAGGGTGATGATAAAACTGATTGCGTCTAGCGTTCAAGAAAGCAGTCAATAGAAGATATAAGAGAAATTTAGGGCTGTTTTTTGGATTAACACTAAAAACCCTTATGCATCTACTGCTGCTCCTCAAACTCTATGTAATCACATTGTTGTACTGTCTGTCAAGGCTGACATTTACATTATGATTAATGAAATAATAAAAGAAAATTGGATCAATTATATAAAATCCAGTCCAGCGATAAAAAATGACACTACACGATCCACTAATGATCCACTAGCATTGGTTGGAAATATACCTTGGACAATGGAGAAAGTGTTTCGATTTCTCGTTCTGGGCAGAGCATTGATAGGATAACGGTGGGAGGATGCGCCGAAGTTCATTAAGGTATCAGACAGATCAAGTCCTGTTTGGTCAATAACAACTCAAAAGTGAGATTATTCTGTAAATCCGTAAGCCCTAATGAGATACGAGTACCAATTGTCACCCTTAATTGTTTATCAGAAACAATCCATGATGGATCTGGTTTTAGAGAACTCAAGCCGGACGTTCAATAACATCAAGAGACCTGGAGCCAAAGACTGTAATTCTCTTCTTAATTCATCCCTTGTTTAAATGCTGCCCTCCTTTTCTTTATCAATATCCTTAATTAACCAATGCATCCGGAAGTGACCAAAATCAATCTAGTTCGATTTTTGATGTGTTTTTGGTGATGCACAGCACAAAAATACACAGATGCGTTTTTCATTCTCAAATAGCAACTAAGCTCAAGATATCCCTTCTGCTTCATCCTAATTAATCTAACCTTAAGTTTCCCTGCCCGACCCACTGAATTAAAAAATTGCTAAATAAACAGGGATAGGCATGGAAAATGCAACCACTAAATGCAAATACCCTATTGATGATGCTTTTGCAAATTTATGTTCTGTTAGGAAATCACTTGTAATTGTTTCACCTAAAATCAATATTATTGGATCAATTTTTGGTAGTTTAAGTGTATTTTTCGCGCTCTTTAAATAAGCTATTAAAATAGCAGCTTTTCTTCTTGAAGAGCTGTAAAAAATATTTCAAATGTTACTAAAAGCTACACGATGAATGCAAACAATTATCAAGGGTAGATATATTTCAACTTTTTATAGATCCTTAATGACCACCTCTATGACGTCACTGTGTTCCAGACTTAAGTAGAAGATTCTAAAGTGCTCATTTTTGTACCATCCAGGCAGGATTTAAAGTGCATTGCTCAAAATTGGTAGACTGCAGAAGGGCAGAATCTTGAAAAATTCAAGCCAAGCTGAATCCTTTTTCAAAGGTGTTAAGAAAGCTATGATCAAGAAACAAAGTTTTCCAGTTCTAACGACTTCCAAAGACCTAACGAAAAAATTAATACCTAAGCTAGAAATTAATAATACTTGCTAGAACTTGGTAGAGATACGTTGGAAGGGAAGATGTATGCATTGAGTAGAAAACAAGCGGGTTTGTTAATTTGACAAGAGTACGGAGCGAGTCGCCTCTAAGGCTATGCACTGGATCCGTAATTTAACTGAGTTTAAATGAGATGATACTCTTTTAAAATACCCACAATCCACCAAGGTTATGTATCGGTAAGGAAAGAAACTTCCTTTCATAATTTAGTTGGCCAGTTTTTTATCTGAGATTTATCTACTGGACAGTTAATAGTGTGAAATATCTTAGAAAGAGCCTGGAATCTGGAGCTAACGCAGAAGACTGAATGAAGGTTTCAACCTCTTCGATTTGTTATTTCAATCTTGTTGTTGTTGGCAAAGTATCTGTGACAAGAAGTCTATCATTCAATGTACAGGGTAGGAACGCTTTTCCACCCAAATGTGTTTGATGCATCAGTGGAACAGATTAAAGCAGCATCTGATATCTTATATCTAACAGGTTCAACGTTATAACAACTGGTGATTCGCACTTAAGAGGCGCTAGGTTCACCAAGGTCACGATAAAAACATTAAAGGTCTATATCCTAAAATATTGCAATGCTAGATTTTGTATTTATCTCTGATACTATCAAAATATTCTTCAAGCCATACCGGAAAAACATGCTAAATCTAGATGAAAATCATGAAATTTGCAATATGTGCTAGAATTTTAAAGGTGTTGCATTGCTTCTTAGAAAGATGGAATAGCCAGCGAACGTCTGATTTTACCTCTGGAAGGAGAGAGCTTCATTTCTTAAACAAGCTTCAAGAGACCAAATTGATAACAAGATTGTAATAGCTGGAAATTTATCTCCTGTATGTGTAATATTTAAGATTATTTTTACATTTAATTTATTATCTACATAGGAACTTTTAGGCCTCATCTACTGTGAGTATGGACTCAGATAATCCTGTGTGTGTGGGCTCCGAAATATCACAATAATCCTAGTTGGTATAAATTCAGTTGATACAGATAAATTCAAAAGCAATACCAGTTGATATAAATTCTTCTGAATCAGGTAGCATTGTCAAGATACCAAAGTTGAAGCCGTATCTTTTCATGAATAGACGACAAAGCAGCTATAGCTTGACTAAATGAACCTCTGCATGACTCTGGTGTTTCTGTGATAACCCAAGCGGCTCATATCATTAAAAATTCCATTTGTTTTAAGATCATCATAATGCTCCAGTTTCAAGTTTAAAACATCAAGATAAAATTTAATTTCTTAGATAAATAGCATTTTCATATAAAATTTTGAAAGCATCACTTACAGTCAGATGTTGGAACAGCCACGCCTTCATAATATTAGTTGCCACTTTGGGGAATATCCCTCGCTTCTTCTGTTTGCGTCTGTCATTTTCTTCCTCTTCCGTTCCAGGAAAACTGTCACCTGAATCAGCAGTTGTTTCTGATGAAGCTGGAGAAGCTTGAAATAAACAAGGTGAAATGTCTTAACTGCTATTCGCACAAACGCTGGTTTTCTTATGGCTTCAGAAAATATGGATAGAAAATTATAACGAAATTGTAAAAGGGTGTTTTGTTTGAAGTTGGTGTTATTTAGAATGATTACTTACAGCTAAATAAACTGCAACGAGTAAATACCCTGAGACAAGCAAAAATGTGACATGGGAGTGAAAACCATTGGACAATATCAAAGTCATTGACACAAGTACACAGTACCTAGCAAGCGTATACTTTGAGCTTGTGAGCTAAAGAAGTGTGAATTTTTGATTGATTTTTTTGCATCAGGGCAAATAAATTGTTGCATGCCTGGCAACATCAGTCTTGTATTTGTTTGTGTACTTTTTATTTCAATTATTTAGCAACTTTAATCATTTCATATACTTAGCATATTTAAAGTTTCATAAAATCTTGGCGGAAGTTCAAATGTTCACTAGCAATTAGTCCGTTGATACTAGCAATTAGGTCCCAAAAATCTTTCCCGTAAAAAGGGAAAAATTCATAATTAAAACCTCTGCAAAAATATTTGACTAAAAACGTCTTTTTTAGGAATCAAAAGGTAGGAAATTGCGTGTATATTGTGCGTTTCCATTTAAAATTCAAATATGAAAAACTTTTTAAATTCTTTTAGGAAAAATTAAAAGTAGGCAATTCTGTGTAATAAGAACATTTCTGTGTCAAATTTAAAATTGAAGATGGAAAATAATAGTAAGAGAAACTTGGGTAAGCAATTTTTGTGAAAAAAAACTTCAAAGAGAAATAAGAAAAACACGACGTTTTGCATATAAAGAACGTCTGTATGTAAAATTTCTAGGTAGGGAACTTTATGAAGGAAAGAAGCTTCTAGATTTTGCGTTTATATGAAAATTTCTATTCAAAATAAAAAAAATTTTCTTGAATGGAGATAACTTCTGGAGAAAATAAGTAAAGTAAGAAACTTTGCATAAAGAACTTCTAAAGAGATATTGAAAAGCATGCCATTATGCATAAAAAAACGTCTCTTTATGAAAGTATGAAGAAGGGAGTTTTGTGTAGTAAAAATGTTTTTACGAGAAATTGAATGGTAGGAAATTTTTTTAGAAAAAAGGTTTCTATGTAAAGCTTGAAGGCAGAGAGTATGTTTCATGAAAAAATTCGAAGAAGGCGATTTCATGTATAGAACGTGTCAATTTAGAAGTAAAATATGGAAAATTTCATAAATAGAAAGCGTTGCAAGGAAAAAATTAAAAGGTTGGCATTTCTGTGTATGAAGAACGTCTCTATACAAAAAATAAAGCAAACAATTTCGTACAAAAACATTTTGATGCCGGGTCAAAGGTAGGGCATTTTGTGGATATAAAGCTTCAAAGTTTGTGGATGTAAACCTATGTAAAAAACGTTTGAAATTGCAAAGCAAGCAATTTGTGAAGAAAGAAAGTTTTTATTTAATATTCAAAGTAGGCAATTTTATGTGTGTAATAGTTTAAACTAAAATTTTGAAAGACAATATATTTGATGAAAAGCATTTGTAGAAAAATTTAAATGAATTTAAACTTGTGTATGAAGAAATTCAAGAAATATGAAGAATTTGTGTTCGACAAATTTTCCAGAAGAAGATCTCTACCCAGAAATAAGGGTTGGCCATTTAGTGAACAAAGAAAGTTTCTAGGAGGATTTTAGTGAAGACTATTTCAGGAAGAAATTCAAAGGTATGGAATTCTATGTGTGAAGAACATCTGTACGTAGATCTATCAGAGAGGAATTTTCGTGAATCAATCAAGTTTCTGGGTTTAAATAGGAAGTGACAATTTTATGTAATGAACAATATTCATGGAGTAATCGAAAAGTATGTTGTATGGTATATGAAAATTTCAAAGAAAGATTTAAAGGTATTCAATTTTACGTATAAAGAATAGCTCTCAGGATGAACATTTCAATAAAAGATAAGTCAGTGATTTTTGTGCATAAAAAGCATCTCATTGCAAAGTTAAAAAAAGGTGATTTATCAAAGCAGAAGATTTTCAGGAAAAAATTCAAAGGCAAGAAGTTTTGTGCAAGAAGTACTTTTAGATGAAGAGTTCTCTTTGTAAATTTCAAGGTTGGCACTTACACGAAGGAAGAAAATTTCAACGACAGCTTCAAAGGTAAAAATATGCTTTGAATATGTTTTTTTGTAACAATGTTACTAAAATAAATGTAGTTTTGACTTTATCAGTGACCCAAAAAAAATTATTGACATTAAAATCACTTTTGTTTGGCTCTCCAAATGCGCACGAAAACTTCTCCTTTCTCTACAGAAATGAGGCTTTGCTCTAAAAGTATCAAGCTAGGCTAACCATCTCTTTTTATAGATAAAGATAGATAAATGAGAACTTCATGTATATATTCTCTTTAAATCCTCTTGCATTTCTTACGGTCTAGGACAAAATGACAGCACAAGAGAATCTTCTTTGCAGATTATTATAAAAAAGGTGGATGACAGAAAAAGATAGGTGATTTGAACTCTTGCTGGCAGTGTCACAAATGCCAAGGCACAAGGGATGTGTATTAAGATGCACTTTAAGAAGGCAGAGCTAAATTAGCATGCTCGACAAAAAGTTACTAAAACCGACAAATTTATCCCCCATTCAAAAGGTTTTCAGTTTTAATCGTGTCACAACGATAGAAGTCTCATGATTTACGTCATGGCCATGTGATGGTCAAAGATGGGGAGCGTTTCTTTTATCAGTGAATCCGCCGATATTTGACATGTCAATGGAGATCAAAATGTAATTTATCAGTATCTTAATCTCTTTAGGGATCTAAAAGTTTGTATTCTTATAAATTGGAAGATTTTCAAGCTGAATAACATCAAAACTGAATGATAAGTCTAAGAATGAAAAAAGCGTGTGTCTCTTTATCAAAGAAAATAATAAGCCTTAAGATAAAGATTATATTTACATGGCAAACAAACATTTGGCAGGTTAAGAAAGTTTAATGCATATTTCTTCCATATAGTTCTAGACTTTGCTAAATAAAAGTTCAAACGATTGGTATTCAGAATTTTTTATAATGAAACAATGTGCGGTTATTATTTTCTTAAAACTCCATGTTGTTTTGAAAATCAATTTTGCGCAATGTGCAATTAAGAGCAATGTGTGGCTATTATTGTCTTAAAACTCCATGTCGTTTTGATTCAATTTTGTGCTCAGGTTTCGAATATCTTTTTTTTAAAAAAGGGGCTGATGAAAAAAAATTAAGAAAAATATATAATTTCAACTAGAACTTGAAGCAGACAAATTTTAGCAATGTAATTTAGAAAAAACGTGAAATGTTAAAAGAAAAAATATCTATCCTTTTCTCAAAACAAATCAAGTTTTAGAGAAAGTCACTTCAAAATTGGTAAAAGAGACGTTAATCGTTTTTGAGAAATTTCACGTTTTATTGGAAATTATGCAGGCAATATTTTTCCTTGTATCCTGCATCGTATATACCAGTTGTCACAGTGACAATTTTGTAGGAAATTTTTAATGAGACGCTCCGAGAGAAGTGAACCTAAAATATGTTTAAACATATCAAATGATTAAAAACTTGTTCTCATTTTGTATGCTATCTTTAATTGGCACTAGGTAATCAATATTCATTATATTCAAAAGATTTATTCGCAATTCTTTGTCAAAATCATTACAATTAGTGACAGGAGACGTTCTGCCAGCAAAATCAGCAAGAAGGCACAATTCTTAATATATTCATAGGCTCCGAGAGCAGGTATGCTGTTAATAAGATACAAAGTGTGTTCCACTAATGGCAAAATTTCGTTTCAAGTATCTTCGTACGACACCCTCATTTTTTTTATAATGCTTGCAGTGCCAGTGAGCCAGAAGATTAACACATTGTTGATACGGTAAACATTGTTGATACAATGCTGCCTATGCTCAGTGAAATTAGACCAGGGATGAAAAAATACTGTAAAAAGGGGTTATTGATTGGTTCAAAGAATGCCTGTGAACGATCTTTTTAGTTAATACTAACAGTAGACGATTTCTTGGTAGTTCTAAATAATATCTTATTCTACCTAAATTCTTACTCGGAGAAAAACATCGACATAAGCATTCCATCAATAAAAATGCAAAACCTCCCTCAGTAATAACATTGCCACATCCCTCATCAAATCAGATCTTGAGGCTACATTCCCTCATCACAAGCCGTTGGTGCATCGGCACAAGTTGCTTCACCTTACCCATACAAAATCCTAACCTTGATATAGCTTAATACATTCAAGTACAAGCAGCTAAAGGTTCTGGCAGAGAATGGACAAGAAAAGTTAATTTTCTCCCACCATAGAGCCGATGCACCAGTCCTACCTTAGTTACCTAAGATGTAAGAGGAGAAGTAAAAACATGACTGAATTAAGAGCCTAGTTTTCCTAAACGAAAAATAACAAGAACTTTGAAATGAATCCAGTGATGTAAACAGGCCCTAGCCTAATACAATAGAATAAATAAGGATTAGAGAAAACACACTACGCTTGATTTAAAAAGGGGAGGGAGGGACGGGAGAAGAGAACAGCGTGGAAACAGCATACGAAGTAAGCACGATAATCCCAACCAAAGGAAGTTAAATACACCCATCTGAGTCAAGGGACCCCACTTTCGTTCAGAAGCCCAAACATCAGAAGTCCTTCTTCTCTATTACTTCCAATGCAGACGCGGATCCAGCCAAAATTATGACCGGTTTCGGGTGCTTTACCCCGTTACGGTCCTGTGTGTTATTGGTCCATAAATATTGCTAAAAGTTGCTAATGAGAATAGCAAATGTGATTAATTTGCCCACACTTTATCTAAGATGTCACAATTTTATTCGGTTCAGCAGGTCCTTTGATCCTCTTCTTGCAACTTCGTCAATTTTTCCAAAATTTTTCCGAAACAACTAATTTTCATGAGTTTTTCCAAGAAAGAAAATTTAGTACCTCAATACAAGACCTCAGATTCTTATTTGCATACGTATTTCATTTTGTATCATTTTGTTTTAAAGGTCCACACTTTCGGGCTATGGAACATCGATATCGAATATGCTTTTTAGCTACCGGTTTTTTTCGCATAAGAGAAACACTTGGGCACCGGCTTTCACAGGTTTTCAGAAAACAATAGCCACCGGTTTCAATTTCGTCGCATAGATAGCATACTCCAAGCTGTCACTTTGAATGGCTCCTGATTTCCTCGATTTTGAATTCTTTGGGTACTTTGAGAAAAAAGATGAATTAGGAAGCTGGGAACTCTATCAAAATCTTGTGGGGTTCAATTCAGTATGTAAACGGAAGAACTGTAGTCAGTCAAGGAGAAATGCAGCAATAGTCAAAACTGAAATTCTGGATAGAAATTAAAGATTCACAGAGAAACATAGCCCTTAGAATTTGACCGGTTTTCTAAACCTGTGCAACCGGTCTAGATCCGCGCCTGCAATGGCATCAAAGAAGCAGATAAGGACTTGAATACCAAACTGAAGCATGACAATTGACACCCAAATGCAAACAATACAAATAAGCTAAAATAAGAACCCCTAGCGAAATCAAATTCTTCAACATCCTTCGTGAAATTAACTCTGATAAAATTTCATTTGATCAGCATTTGTTCGGCGATGCATTGGAGGTCTCTACAAAAATCAGATTCTTGAATCCTGTCAAGATACTGTACACGCTTATCTCTTAAAAAGCCACAGTCGAATCTTTCCTTTAACATAACCAATTCCAGCAATGTTATTTCTAGATTTTTGTGTTTGGATATTAAATTTTTCCAAGTAATTTTTAAATCCTTGCCAAAAAATTTCATCTAATATTTCCTCTGACTCATCTATCTAGTACAAAAAAGTTTCACTCTTCACCTTCTTTGTCTTTTACGCAAATTCGACTACGAGTTCACCAAGACCGTCATTTGCAGCTCATTCTCTTTCTACCCTCAACAGGGAAAAATACAATATCTATTCAACTGAGGATTACTCGTGGCTTTAACTTGTTGAGTTATTGCTCATAGATAGCGATTGAGACTGCAGTGGGTAACATATCTAAGCAAGAATGTGAAAAATGCCTAACGGCTACAAAAACTGCTCAGATCTGCTCTGCAAGCCATGCAGTTTTCAAATAACACTGTCTCCACGTTTACCGTCCAAACAAATGATGATTTTGCCCATTGGCTTATACAGGCAATAAAACGATGCCAAAATGCTCCAAAAAGACACATATTGCAATTAATTAACCTGATGCTTATCAAATAACAAGAAATCTGAAGTCCACAGTAGTTCTGGTCTACCTTAACGACCTACTTATTCCTTGAAAATTCCCAATATAACCTGTGTATAGAAAGATTATTTTGACTAGTGACACCTTAAAACGTAAGTGACAACTCTTGTAGGAAACGTGACTTCAAAATTATGACTTTTATTGGAAGGAGACACCGGCGCACCAACAATGCAAACACTACTGAGAATGCTTAACTTAAATGACAAAAATTGTGGTTATGAAGAGATTGTACGCCGCATGTCCAAAGAACGTAGAAAACTGGCCACAGAATGGAGATATTGATCTTGTATCTGCAATCAATATCGGTATTACAAATAAAATTGCAGCTAGAACAGAGAAATCCTATCAAGAAATCCAAATTGCAGAAAGCCAAATTTCTTAAAAGATATGAAAAGTAATCAAGTTTGGCTTATGCTACTGCACAAAACCAGAAAGCAAAGTTGCAAGGAAATCTTGATATTTCTGATCAGTAAACCACTTGATATGGTAAGCTCTTCAATTTGCTGAGAAGGATAACAGGGATAAGCAGGAATTGCAAAAATAAAAACGATAAAACAGATAAATTCACGAAACTTCAAACCACTAAATACAAAGGTGGATGACTTTAGGTTTGAATCTCGAACCATATAGCATGAATGTTTCTGGGAACTGTTCCTACTTTGCCATTCTCTTGTGCCCTCAACAATATACGGTCGAGACTAGAAAACTTGCCAACAGATCCGAATCTATTGGTACAGAAAAGTGTCAAAGCAAAGTATATTCGTTGTTAGTTTATGTTAAGAATTTCGTTACATATGATCTAAAATTGTAGAAAACCAAATGCTAGCTCGCGTCTTTTTAAACTATCTATTCAGGCTCATTGCTTGCCAAAAATCTTATCTAACAGACCGGATGAGGCTGTTTCGTAGATTGGTACAAGTTATGAAGGCTGAATTACGAAACACGAATATGACAGTCTATCTAAACGATGGCATAAATAATAGCTAGATTTAGAAGAAACATTAATGTTTTCTCAATGTTCCCACTCTTTTAAAGAAAAAAGGAGTCTAATCGATGGTATCAGTGTTAGCTTTTGAGTTAGAAGCCAGCTTTCATGGCGAGACAGAGAAGTTTATCCATTCCCTAAAGAGCCATTAAATCGTTTAAATACATTCTTTAATATTTTAGTATTCGTTAAGTTCTTATTTAAGCTCAAGTTAATAAAATGTTACGTTTAGGAGTTAATGCTCTTTAATATGAGGCACAGAATTTATCTATAGAAAATATCATATATATAGTTCTAAACAGGTACTCCAAAAGTCTCTTTAGATTTTGCTTGATTTGCTTGCACTTCTTTTGTTGGTGAAAGAAAATAAAACTTTGACAAAAACAAATAATTAAAGCAAGAAAAAACGTACAACATTTCAGTGATAATCAATATGAAAATCTTTGAAAGAATGGCCTTTATACAATTTTGAAGAATGCTGCTACTTTTTTAGCACAATATTAAGAGTTATTTGATCACTGTACATTCATAAAGATACAACTCTGATTCAGCACACAGAAAATCTAATTTTTGATTGATTCAGGAGTTTCTAGCCTTTGATAATAGATAATAGCAGAACAGAAGAATAAAAATGATGAAAAATTGTCTGTTTGATGTAGTTTAAGAAATTTATATCTGTTTGAATGCAATTTCGATTAAAGATTCATACTTCCGATATTTCTGAAAGGTCGTTTGCATGGCTCAATATCGTTTGCATTTTACAGCCAAAGTATTATATGGATTGCATATTTTTAAGAACAAAGACAAAATAATCCAATGTCTTTTCTACAAACAATTATTTTTTGAGGCACCAGGCACTTTTCTTTTCTAAATCACTTTGAGGTGTCTTTGAACTAGAACACTGCCAAATAACTGCCAAATAAAAGCTCTAAAGATCAAATTTTCATTTCTACAAATTAGCCGAAAGATTATTTTGCTGAAAATGAGATACTAATCGCTAGGAAACATTACGACAGAGTTTGTTAAAATACTTTCGATGACCTATAAAACGAAAAGATACCTTTGTGTTTGGCAAGTGACACTTATAACATCTTGGTTTAGAGCAATAGAAAGATATAGGCTATGCAAATAATCGGTGCTTCTGCAGACAATTCGACAACGGAGTGCTAAACTAATATTTTAGATGACGCAACGTGACCTGAGTGCCAGACTTGAAAATCAGACAGTATCTGCATGTTTTCAAGTTGACCTACTTCGTTGATGACGAGCCATTTTTTCTTCATTCAAAGCAGCTTTATCCATTGGCATTTCAATTTTAAGCATAACATGTATTCAATTCTCATAAGATCGTTAACACGTGTGTCCTGTGCCCTATGCTTTGTTGTCGGATCTATCCTTAGAATCTGCAGGTTTTCAAGTTGACCTACTTCATTGACAACGAGCCATTTTTCCTTCATTCAAAGAAGCTTTACCTATTGGCATTTCAATCTAAAGCATAACATGTATTCAATTCTCATAAGATCGTCAACTCGTATGTTAAGTCCCCTATCTTTTCAAGCCTGATCTAAACCTAGCATCTGCAGGTTATAAAATCGGCCTACTTCATAGATAACGAGCCGTTTTTTCTTCATCCATTTCACCTATTGGCATTTCAATTTCAAGCATAAAATGTCTACAATACTCAGAGGATCGTTATCTTGTATATCCTGCGCCCTACGTTTGTTGTCCAACCTATCCTTATGCCTCCAACAGATGCATTCGTCCATTATCTATGTGTTATAAATCCCAGCCGTTTGGATGCGTTTACAAAATCTAGAAGCATTGGCAATATCGTAGCCAGAATTACAGTTTGGGTTAGCGAGTTTCAATCTGTAACTTTGATTGCCTCAGTTTTGCCTGAGGCCTTTTTTGAGCTTTAGATGTTTACATTTCATTCAATATCACTCATGTCCGTGAACATCTGTTGAATAGACTACGTAAAAGAAAGCACTAACAAGAATGTTAACCGAAAGCCCAGTCTTACCTTCGTCTTCCTTTCGTCTGGCTAGGGCACAGCTTGGCAAATTCTTCGGCATCGGCGCATTGCTTCTGCAGATTGGTGAAGCGGATTGTAATGAACTGGAGTAGGAGTCATAGTTCTCCAAAGAACTAGATGGCCATGTCGGAACTGGCTTCTACGAGGAACATAAACAAATATTAAACAGAAGACAGTTCGATGATTCAATGAAAAACCGAAGAAAAACAAGATAAAATCCGACAAAACATACGCTCGTTCTTGCCATTTTCATTAAAGTGATTGGCTTGATGTTTAGCAGATAAAGAATCTTGACGGGTCCTCTTTTATAAATTACCGACAAACTATAAAAAAATTACGCAATACCAGTAAATATAAGTCCATTGTTTTAAAGAATGAGATGATATATGACATGTCATAGATGAATGGGGTGAAGATAACACACATGGTTATTGGGGAGAAGCCAACTTTAGGCGGAGGAAAGGCGTTGGCTTTAGCGACAACACTTATTTTAAAATACTGCAACATAAAACAGGTATTCTGACTAGGGAATAAAAGCTGTCAAATCCCATTCTATGAACTGTAGATCGTATTGATATCAACTCATGACCCAGTTACTTCAAGATTGATGCTCAAGTTTTGGGGGCTAACAGAGAAGTTCTGATTAAAAATAAAATTGCTACTAAGGTCAGTTGTTACGCAGCAAAACCATCTTGTTTCAAAACTTCCAAGGAGTCTAGACAAAATTAAAATTGCAATTTATCTATGGTAAGAAAGTATGTCTAGATACAATGTTACAATGAGACTGATGCTAAAGCTCAGTCGCTGAAGCATCGTTGTGCTGAAGCATAGTCGAATTTGTACACAAAACAGTATCGAAATGATATATCTCAAGATAGAATCATCCACCTTTAAACAGCAAAGAATGAGAAATATTTAAAGTAGATAGGAATATACAAAAACATTTTGCCCTTGATTGAAATCTAGTGTAGCACTATGTTCTTGTCTTGATGATGTTACACGACGAAGAAAGCAAGTCTATCTTGTGTAATCTGGAATATAACCTGTTTTAACAAACACCAGATAAAATATACACTAAAACTTTCAAGAGGAAAGTGTTTGTTTTAGACTTGCTCATCGGGTTCAACTGATAGAAGCAACGGATAAAATTTTCATAATGAGATCTTTGCGCGATTTAAATAAAAATAGAATTGCAACTAATATGCTGATGGTTTTGGAATTAGTTAATTAGAAACTGGCTGCAAAAACAACATTTTTCGGCATCAAAAATGGCAGGGCATTCCATTTGATAAAAAGACCTTTCTGAATAAGAATACTTTTGTAGCAGTTGATGAATTTTTTTCAATTTTCAAGAATGCAAGTGAAAAAAATTGGATATGCACAACTAGTATTGTAGAAAATAATTGAAATTAGTCAGATTTAAAAGATTGTAAGCGTATTGCAAGCTCATGAAACAGGAAACACATTATTTGAAATTTCAAGCATTTACAAAACAGACAATAATATATAAATGTATTCGGATGAACTGCGAAAATTTCAGATTTGAAGTTTAAAGAAATCCAAGATAAAACGAAAAACGGAAACAGGGCGTGGAAAAAAATACTTTGGTATGCTTTTTTTCCCTTTCCGTGCTATTTTCAAATTTTGAAGTACAAAGGAATTGTTTTAAAAGATTTGAAGCTCAAGATAGAAACATCGCCTCAGTTTGCTGTATTTGCAGTCTTGTAGAAATCACTGCAATGATATCAAACTAGGAAATGAAGCACAATTATCCATGCAACCATCAACTGTGTGCAAGAGGTTAGAAGAATTTGTGAGTGTTGGGTTTGACACAAAAGGGCTGCTTTTCGAGCAAAGATCTTTCGAGCTCTCTAGAAATAACTTGATTGAATTGCCGGTTTACAAATAGTAATAATGTCATTAACAGTCATGGTTTTAAGGATAAATCGATCGATTATTTTCAGGTTAACTACTTACAAAACCGTTCCAAAATAAAACAGAGTTTGATTTCTAGATACGATAGCGTATACTGTCATTTAAAGACCTGACAAATCTCTGCTAATAAAGAATTAATCTTGAAGATTATAGAGGTAAAATCATCTTGGAAAAGCAATCTTTTAATGCTGTAAACCATAAATGCGCTAGGTTTCAGAATGTGCAATATACTTCTTAATTTGATCATTTTAGTGGAAAGTTTATTGGTTTTAGTAACATTCTAACAGTTAACATCAATCGATGCTTTTAAATCTCTTTTAGACTGTTCCATTTAAAATGTCACCAAGAATAATGAAATTACTTTTGTGTCTTAGGTTAGACTTCGTAGTATCCCTTTACAAACTATTTTAATTTACTTTAAAAGCACTTTTGAGTTAGTTAATCCTAGACATTTTGTTTTGCTTTATGCAATTTAACTTGCCAAGTAAAATGACGACAAAGTCTCCACAGTTAAAAACTTTGTAATTTCTAATGAAAGTGAAGTATTTTCTGCAAATCCTTTCAAATAAAAAGATTTAAAAAATAATAAATTTTAGCCATTTTGAGACATAAGTGAAGGGCTTATTGTTTCCAGAAATTTTATTGATTAGGTAAATGTTACAACTGTGTTACAGTAAGTCACGAAGAATATACTCGTAGGCCTTTTAAATGAGAAGAATCATGTTTTGACAAGATTACACAACCGCCCATGTTTAAGTTCTGGAGGAGCTGGGAATCAAAAATGAGCGTCACAAAAGTCTACAATAAAAAGAAACTGTGTCATTATTAACCAAACAATGTGATGTTATTTTTGGGACGTGTTGAGGAATTGCGTGCAAAAATCTGACGGGCAAAGAGACGATATAGATATATTACTAACAAAAACATATCGGCAGAGACATTTGTCTCTGCCGGTATCTGAAATGACTGCAACAGCAAAGTACATAGACGCGTGGTTAGAATAATTTTCAGAGAAAAAGTAAAGAGTTATTGGCGGAAAGAGTTTTCGAACCATTATGTAGTTGCATTAGGTTGAGTTCTTATTCTTCAATTGGATTTTTGATCTATGGTATGAGAAACAGATGTGACAGAATAGAAAAAAAAACGCATAATTGAGGTAAAAAGTCGCGAATAAAACATTCGTTCTTGCAAAACTTACAAGTAAGAGGTTTCAGAGAGAAAAAACAAACAGTATAAAAAACAAGCTTTTGTGGATGGAGTGGTGACTTAAGATGGCTAATCGCCGATTTGAAGTCAGATTGGAATAGACATTTCCTTCTTTAAAACCAATGACACAAAAGGGACAGCGTTGATGATTTTTAGGCCATGAAAAAACCAGTTTTTTTCTTTCATCCGTTGGTCCAACTTAATTAATCGCAAATTCTTCAAGGCAGTGATAGAAAAAAGTACAACTTTAAAGCTTCTTCTCATTTACAAACCATTTTCTCATATTCGCAAAAAACCATGTTTGCTAAGTTATTCAACATAGATTCAATTTTTGGATACTTTTCGTTGGACTAAGAGTGACCAACATCCTTGCTCCTGTTTTCAAATCCCCCCTAATAGCAAGCAGAATCGCAAGTTGCCCGTTAAGTTTCAGAATGGAAAGAAAAATCAATTGCTTCTTGCCTTTCTTTGCCAAGTACCAGCAGTTATGATCGAACTTATGTGCAACGCTCAAACTTCTTGAGAATTTATGCGACTTTGAAGATAAATATACGTTCATAAACAACGATATCCAAAATTTGCAGAAGAGACGTTACAATGTGAACGAAGATTTCTATTATCAGCCAATAAGTACTTTCATGTGTTATCTTCGCCTTACATTATTTCTGTTCTACAAGAGTTAGACATTACCGGCCCTTTACTTGCTGTAAAAATATATCATAGAAATATCGTTGAGACGTATCTTGAACATTTAATCGCACGCAAAAGGCGATAAACTACGGAATTTTCTAAAAACAGGTAAACATATCCTGAAAAATTAAAATCCTGTCTTGAAATACCATCACAACTATAAACTCTTTGGGTTGATATGGGAATGAAGGAAAATATTCTCTTTCAATCAAAACAAGATCTGCAACTTTGAAATATGTTTGACATGCTCGCAATTTATTCTAATTACTCCTTTTAACCCCTGTGTTCATTACATACGTCATTACTACAATAACAAACCTGATCAAGCCAGATATTTTATTGGTTAAAATCATAGAAACGAAACTTTCCCTCGGTAAAATTTCCTTATATGTCCGGACAATTGTTGCACTAACTATGCGGACAATCTAAGTAAAATAGTGATGAAGATCAAGGTTCTAAAGCAGCGCAAGTGGAGATTTCATTAAAGAATAAACAACTGAAGGAGAAAATGCTAAGGCGACATGATGGTACAAAAAGTTCTCTTTTCACAGAATTTGCGAAGCATGGAATGGCTAACATAACAGTGAAGGTTTGCAGTGCATAGAAGATGCTCAGAGTATTGGAGTGGAGAAAAATAGTGACCGATGCTTTTATAAATACTGTGTCTATAATGTATATGCAATATAGCTACAAGTATAAAATATCATTCTTTATAAAAATAGCTACTAATACTGCGTTTCAAGCTTGAAACGAGATCTTATCGTCCTAATGATTAGGATGTTATCGCTCTTTATACTGATAATGTGGGTAAAACTCTGATTAGAAATCAGTGGAATATGGAAAATGTAGAAAATGTAGAAAAAAAGAGAAAGAAAGAAAGAAAGAAACAAAGAAATGTAGAAATCTTAAACATGTACATAAAACTATGCATATGTAAAAAGTACCATTTTTGAAAGTACCATTAAGCCATGGCGCAAAAATTAGATGCAAAGAGACAAAGATTTTTGAATAAGAACTAAGCGTGTACATTTTTCAAACTTAGCGCATATCTTCAAAACCGTTAATACCCTAAATCTTCCTTAATTATAAATCCAGTCGCTAAATCTCTGAGTCATTTTATCAAACTTTATCAGGCTTCAAAGCCGTCCTTCTGACGTGTGAAATTGAAGGTGTGTGAAAACTTGCGCCATTTAAAAGGAATGCGATAATGAACACTGGGTGTCTACGACAGACACAAGATTCTTTGCGACTTCAGCCAGCGTTTTATTTTTGGATATTTGGAACTTTGTTCAGGCTCTTGACGATATTTAACCTCGGGTATAGGTACATTTCTAAACATTATCGAGTCTTCTATGAAAACTGGTTGTTCTGCAAACAATATCCTGGGTCTGCAGCAAACTCAGATATTGGTTTGAGCCTTATTTAGGATTCACGTAGATACCTCTTGATTACTGCAAGGTTCATATAGCTGTAATTTTGTGTCCCGAAGCCTATCGTATGCAAATGATGCCAGGATTAGATTTCTACTACAACAAGAAGTAGCCTCGTCTACACACAAATGAATTTTATAAACAATATGGTTTTTGTAAAATTTACCTGAAAACTTTGATTGTATCGAAAAGGAATAGAAAAAATGAAGAATACAAAATGAGTTATGGAGTTCCTGAGAAATCATATCAAAATTGTTAGCTAGCTTTATCTAAAACAAAAACCTAAAATTTAACTTGTCTTTCCAGGAATAGCAGGAATCGCAAAATTTTGAGATAGCATATCTGAGCTCAATTATAATTTACAATCAGCTTCTAAGGACACAGACAAAGTAGCAGGTCAGTTGTAAGCTAAAATTACCGCAAAAACTGGATTCTAACACTTTGCATTTTTGCGTATATTTTGGGGTGTTCTGTGAAATTTTAAAAAAAAACTACGAAAAAGGTGGATAACCAATTTTAAAATCTAGAAGCTTTGCATGTCATCAGAGAATTTATTCTACAGACTCTATACCTACGAGATGTGAATTCAAGAAACTTGAAAATATGATTTGCCCAAACGTATTTTAGCTTTCATTCTAAGCAACAAGAAAGTACTCGGTGTGGTAGATTGCATAAAGCTACCAAAAAATTAAAAGATCAAACGTTTTTTTTCAGAAGAATAACGTCGAAAGGAGGTAGAAAATATAGTCTAAAAGATACACTATTTAGTGTTTAGAACAGGGTAGTTCTAAGCTGGTAAAGCTCTGCCTAAATAACATCGAGCACGCTATGAGAGACCGGTAAACAGTAATCTTTGTAGTCTAAAGGAAACAAGAATTCGAAAAAAAAGATTCTGCTGCAATCAAAAATGCCAAAAAGACTGATACATGCAATTTGAATGCAGAATTGCGCTTTAATCGAGCGGAATTATAAAGAATTTTAGCGGTATCATGTCGGTAAGGCCAGCAGCCGCTTAGTCAGAGAACTGTTTATGGTATTACGAGTTTTTAGATAAGAAAATTCCTAGATATTACTCAAATCAATAACGAAAAGCTCTGCTTTTTTCTTCATTTGTTACATTTACACAGATAGCCATCACTCATTGACGAAACCAAACATACTGATAGATAGCAAAAGCGTTTTTCTTGGCCTCAAACCGTTTCAATGTTTAAAATTATGCAGTAAAACATGCTCTTTCAAAGGATCTTGTAACGAGTCCATATAGCGGCACATAAAACTTGAAGTCAGCGTTTAGACGGGCAGCGTTTTCTCTTCCTGGAACGCTGATCGTAACATACCGCACATATGCAGCCTCTTTGATGATTCGTAATTATGTTATAAGTTCAGCCAATACATAAGGTAGTCTTTTGGATTCTTGAATGATTGTGGGTATCTGTGAGGCAAACTGGGCGAAAATATTGAACAATTAGATTAAAGGTTAGGCAGTGAACTGCGTGTTGAGCAACTTAGAAAAGGAGCCTTAACGGTTGGCACAGAAAAAAGGAAATTTTCCGACAATGAAAATGCTCATAATGATTGTAGTGCTTTCCGTTTAAAAACAATCATTAATTTGCTATGCAAGATAAGCAATAAACTCCTTCCTTGCTTTTCTAGAATATTCAGAAAAGACTTTCAATGTTTGTATGGGCAATACCAACTCAATCTCTCATTTCAGAACAGATTAGCTGTTTCAAAATGGATCTTGCTTAACACAATGACTTAATACCAGTTATGCTACTAAATCCGATAGATTAACTTGCAGTGAGGTATTGTAGCGTGCCTTGATCAGATGTGGTAATACAATCAGAATTGTGTAGTGATGGATTTCTCCCCTTTAGTTTTATCAAGAAGTAGAGGGTATTTCCGCAGGTATAGAGTTACAGAAAATGGTGAGAAGAAAATAAACAGAATTTGGTACAAATCCCTAATTTAGAGTTTGTTATAGTTCTAATGAAGATTGTTATTATTTGTTGATGATTAGAATAATGTAGCATCAAAATCCGGTTCAGAAATAACAATTAGGCAGCAGATTTTATATCTTATTCATGTGATGGCTTTTTAACTTTGGTTTTTTTAGATGTAAACAAAACAAGATAACACAGGATATGCTTTTTAATGGTTCGACACATCTTAAGGAAAAGGAACAGATTGTGGGGCTAGAAAAATGCTGAGTAGAATAGCAGAAGGGGGTTTTTCATTTCTCAGAATAGAGACAACTAGGCACTTCCTGCTCTGAAGACCGCCATTCATTTAGTAAAAGTATTTCTTAGAGTCATCAGTACGTAGAAAAATTGAGAGTCGGCACGCAGGCTATCAGTGCGGCCCATTCAAAGTTTTAGGGTAAGCAATAAATTTGCGGTTTTCAATGCTATCATTTTCAAATCTTTAGTTGTTGCTATAGTTTTTGAAAGTCTTGGATTGAACTGTCAGCTACTAGTTCATCATGCTGGGGACAGAAAATGTTTCCTCAAAGATATAAGTTGACAGTTACAGTTTTAGTTCTTACTGCTTACAATAAAAAATTTTATTTTATTTCTTGGTAAAAAAATAGGTAAATATTTATTGGTAAAAATGATAGGACTTGTAGTTTGATATGATATGATTTTAAAAATTGATTTGAGCGGTCAAGTCAGTTAACAAAGGCTTCAGAAAATTTCATTTTACAGCTCTGACTTCAAACCAAATAATCTGTAATGAAACTCAAAGATATTGTTAACTAGTTTTGTCTAGAGTACACCCAAAGTGACCTTTTTCTGGTTTAAAATTTTAAAGTGTGGGTGGTTAATGCATGCTATATGCTAACACAAAATTTAAAAATTGCTACAGCAACACATGACTTGAACTTTATAAAAAATTCATTTCGTATGTTATGTTACACAGGGCAAATTGACATTACGTTTTTTCAGCCCAATAAATATCAAAAATTGGTTTTCAAAAGCTCTAAAATGTCGATTTATGTATGTGTCAAAGAAGCAAATTGCTGAGCTTTTAAAGAAAGTTTAAAAATCCAGTCCTGATTGGAAAGTGATCGAAAAAGTCTGCATGCAATTCTGAATGGGTGCGTTACAAGTTAGATGCAAAAGCCAACAAAAGTAGTTGACAATGGCAATCCTCTGCATTGGAAGTTTCTTAGAGCTTTAGCTTCATAGATGCAATACAAGTACCCTTAACCAGGGCTTTCAACAGTCTCCAAACATAAGGAGAGAGGGGGTGTCCAGGGGTGTCATGGAGATGGTGCTGCTTATAGAGCAGAGAGAGTATAAATAGTCAGAAATGCGTGAACTCATTTGGTCTGCGCACAGCCTGGATTTTATTTGTCATGGTTCTCGGGCATTTCGTAGCTCATAGAACCTCGAAGAACCACTAGGAGTTGTAATCAATCGCAAAATCAAAGAGAGGAAACCACCTTAAGAGGACAAAAGATCCGCATTCAGATTTACTATACGAAAAACGTTATATAACATCTTAATGATTTGAGCAGGACAAAGATGAGCCAAAATCCATGGCCTTATGGAAAACAAGGAGATATTGAAAAGATAAGCCAAGATCGTCACATTTTGCATAGAAGACATTTCTATGCTCAGCCACGTAAATCAGAACAAGGCAAAGCTTGACAGATAAATGTTAGATGTATATAATATTGATTTTACATATAAATTTTGCATAAAAGCTCAGACCAGTCATCTTGCAGCATAATTATAGCGTTTCGGTCGTGCTAAGCGTCTCGAAGATAACATTGCGAATTGACACTTTTCGACGGTTTCTGAAAAGCGGTGAGAAGGACACCCTTGGCATTTGATACGCAAATCAAGAGAAAGTTAAAAAGATGTAGCGAGTCAAATATCTTGAAGAATAGGCAAGAATGCTTATTCAAATTCTCCGTTCAGTTTGTTATAAAGGAAAGCATGGATTGAAAATGAGCCGTTCTCTTGGATGCTAAACATAGTATTTACTTAAAAAAACTAGAGCTCATAAAAGTGATACGACGATCTCTTAATTTTCTTAGTTTGAATACTTAGAGATTCAAAATTCATAACTACCACCTTCTTAAAAATAGCCCGTTCCCCTTCGAAATATAGCTACACGTTTTTTAAAAATAAAACTTGGCGCCAGCTTCACCCTGGTCTTTCTCTTTGTTCTCAAAATTTCAGGCTCTTGTTTTTCTTATTTTTTTCTTATTTCCGCAACTGAATTTCCTATGCATAGCGGACTTAACATGTGCTTCATAAAGTAAATAATGATATTTTGCCTATCGATTTCTGTTCATCTGTTGCTATTTTGCATTTCTCAATTTTTTGCTGTTATTTCTTGAGTTTTGTTAATTTCAGCCTGCCTTGTTTTTTATTTTGCACTTATTTTTAGGCAAATCTCAGCCTGATGTTTTTTATAAGGGTTTTTATAATGTTTTTATAAAAAAGCATGTGCCAAAAGCAATCCCAAAAAGATGTTATCCAAGAATTTATCATAGATCAACGAAAATGGTATCACATTATCTATCATGTAAATAATTGTTTATCAAGATCGGCTAAAAAATTCCTTTTTTCTTCGAATAAAAAAGGTATGAATTTTAGATAAAGTGTAGGACCAATTAATCTAAACGAAATAAAAACAATCAAAAACAAAAGGAATTAATTTTCTTTGCATTTAATTGCAAAACGAAAACAGATCAGACATTTCTCAGCTTGGGTGGCTTGTAAAAGAGGTCAACTTTGATGAGAAATCCCAGCCAGCTTCAAGGCAAGGCCTTGCTAATTAAACTACGGTGTAATTTCAACCTGGTTCTTAAGCGTCCAGCCCAGCAACATGTAAACAAAGAGATTTGCTTCTACGCGGTAAGACAAAGAAAAATATTATGACAAGTATTCGGAAAGAGTTAACGTGCTTAAAAATGTCTTAAATTCCGCCACATGTAGTGGTTCAACACAGTGATGAGGCAAGCCTCGTTTATCTCAATTAAAAAAACCACAATTTCAAGTGTGTCCAATTTAAGTGGCATTTTTCATTTCATTTTTGTCTTAATCAACAGAGCGAAATTTCAAGTAAACAAGTACAGCAAATTAGACAAAGCACTGGTTTGATTATGCGCTGCCTAATTTCAACGCATCCTGAAGGTGGCCGAATACTGTTACATGGTCTTACAATTACGTTCAACAGCATTCTTCCAAAAAGTCACCAAGATGAAAGCATTTAAATTTCTCAGAGCAAAAGGGACAAAAATGGTGCATTCCAGAAACTTTATTAGTATATTTAAGGTCGTATCGATACTCTTTCATAAGATATAACTAGGTGATCTATGAAAATGGTAGAAGTTTAGAAAAGGCGAAGAGCAAAGGATACCGTAGTGAGCCTTTAGGGAGTCCATTCATATCAATATACAAAGATGCGTACTCTCTAAAAAATTTTTAAAACCATTGCGCATCCAAAGACAGAGAAGATTGGCAGATCGTTAGATATACATAAAAGAGAAGTTGAAAAGAACCAAAATTGCAAAAATCGTTGTGTCTTTTGCACCAGAAAGCCTGTTATAAAGATGTCATCTACAACAAAGCGTACAAAATGCATTAAGAACAGAGCCAGACAATAAGAAGCCAGTTTAAATGAAGATTCATAATTTATTGAACTTTGGCAAACATTAGCAACGAAATAATTGATCGTAAGGAGCTTAATAGAACGTGACTTAGGAAAAGCTTGATAATCCGGAGCCTGAATAGAATGATGGTGCAGAAGTACTTATTACTAACCCAAAAAAATTTATCAACAAAATGGGAGAAGAAAGTGTACAAGGACTGTTTGTAATTAATTAAATTACGTATACATCTTAAGAGAAGACTGACTGAAAATCATATGAAGAGGGCTTTAGAGTGAAGGAATGAATAGAAGTTACATTCATTCAGGATATGAAATTCACCAAAGAACGAAAATGAAATTTGAATATGATGAGATTGGCAAGCAAGATCGTCTAGGTTTTCATTATCTGTGATAGTAGACTCCGATAAGGGAGTATCTCTGACGTGTCAGAAAATACAAAGTTATCCTTCAGTTATATAGTTTGATTAAAAGTACTCGAGATAATGAATAGAAAATAGCGAAATTATAATGCGGACGAATATTAAAAGAATAAGAATGTCAATCTGAAAGGCACACCCAAGGCTTGAAAAAGCAAATGCTATACTTTTGAAGGCAACGTTAGGCAGTGATTTGAGCAAATAATATTGAGTTTACTCGACGATTAATCTTTTGTGCCAAAAGAGAACAATATTTGATTATTGAAAGGTTTTCGAGTATAGAATATCATGCGAGTTTAGCAGGTAGAGCATTCGACTTCCCACTGACGTATCAATCATGGTATTTGAAGTTATCGAGAAATTCCGCAAAGATCAAGATATTGAGAATAATAAGCGAAATATTGTAGTAACACTACGGATATTCTGGCTGCTAAAGATTTGATACAGAATAATATATAACTTAGAATTGCAAGGAAGGTTTCTGGTATGATATTTTTGCAATTGGGGCCTCTTTGGTATGTTGTTTACTTCACCTCGGCTATTTCTCTCTCTACAGAAAAAGACACGCTGGAAACGATTTTCCCAAAATATTTTGAAGTTACCAAAATCTTTTCAAATTAATGCAATATTTCAAAATTACAAAGCTACAAACTTTAGGAATGAAGTTTTCAGGACTCTCGCCGATGCTTACGGCAAGAGTCTTTTGCACTATCCAGAAAAGCTAAGAAAACATCGGTGTTCATTGGCTGAAATTGTTGTTTGTTGTCAAAGTCTACATTTCAGTTGTCTTTTCCATAAATGGAAATTTTGTCAGCAAGATAAAGAAATATTAAATTTGCATGGCCGAGAGGTTTTGCGAGAATCCTTCTTTGTGCTGGCTTTATTTTGAAGAGTAGTGCGGGCTTTTTCTCTATGCTTGCAAAGATGACTTACGGACGGCAGCTGAGGCAAACTATTCTGCGATGGATTGTTAAATATAACAGAACTGATTGCTTATTAGTGACTGTCTACATAAAGTAACTAGGATAATTTTTTCCAGTTGCTTGCATCATTACGTATATATACAAAGATTCGTGATTATTTTAAACTTTATTCCACGATGCATAGCACGCAAAACATGTGTGCACATTCTAAAGAAGAGTCGAAAGTCCTATCCGAGAGGTTATCATCAAAACGGATATTCTTAGATTTTTAACACCAATGCATTTGTTCTAAAATATTGAATATTGGATCGACAAGCGTAGATTTAGAAGAGTTGGTGACACTTAATAACAAACTGTTTTTGCCTTAAAGTGCATGGATACACAAATCTTAGTTGCTAGACTTTGAGCTAATTAGTTCTTACAAGAGTCTTATAAAACATTTAAATCACGTCTATAAAATCGTAGTCATACGTAGCCAAATACCAGTGCAAAAAAACCTTCTGTAACTGGAATATTTAGAAGAACCCTAGTCATTTTCCGTTGCACAGCAACAATTAACTGCTGGTTGGAGAAGAGGCCATATTCAAGACATTTTGCGGATTAGACTGAAAAGACTAAAGTTTTTTTTCAAATTTATCACTCAATCTGCAAGTGCCGTGCAGAATAGAATGACTAGTTAAGCCAGCAAACATAATAAGTAATTTAATAAACAAAGAACTTATTGGTTGGTTTGGGCATTCCTTTTCGCTATTTTACTTAAGTTGCAGTTATATTTGTTAGACATTATGATAAAAAACATGACAGAGAGTAGGAAAAAGATATCAGTGAATAATGAAACGAAATCTTTTGATAAGCCAATTATCTATAAAAAGGGATTTTCTCTTAATCATTTTGTTTTCTATTATCTTTGAAGCATTTTTGTCTTTAATAAAAATGTACTCAGAATATTCAGTGGAACAAATTTTGGTGCTACTATCCGACAACAAACAAATTTGGATAATTTTTAACGCATTGTGATAATTGAACCCAACCAAGGGGAGATACAACAGCCAATTAAAATTATGAAAATTTTTCACTTTCTAGACTTTAACAAACAATCTTCTCTGTTTATCTACAAATTTAGGTGAACCTTATTAAAAAAATCTCCAACGCAAGCAAATATGATCTTTTGTCCGCATGTTACCAAGCATTAAGTAACAAAAGCTTATTGTGCGATATTTCCTTTAGTAAGTTATATGTTACCTAGACATTTTTGACGGCATTATTCAAAAACTTTTCGTATAAATTAAGCAATACTTTGTGTATTCCTTTCAATAAATATGATACAGAATGTATTTTGATACATAATTATATACAGTGTTAGAATTTTTGGATATGAATCGACTTTTGCTGCAGATATTTTGAGCAGCAGATATAAACAATTTAAAAAGATTTCAAATCATTTTTCCTCTTGCATCTTCGTAAACATTTGTGTTCCGCATTGATCTTTTAAGGCTTTAGCTATCTAATCTATTACTACGAATCTATAAAGATACCTTAGCGAATAAAATTATTTTTCATGTCATTCACTAAAGTATCTGATATCCTTCGACAGCTTTGGACTTCTGCCAAGATCGAAGTCTATCATTAATCTATTTTGATATTCTAATGGTGCAATTACTTAGCTTATTTTGAAATCAAAACGTGCAATTCACAGTCAAATAATGATCACAAATAAATGCTTAAGAACCTCCGGTTTAGTTATTCATGTTTTTACATATTCAGCAAAGGGAAACAATTGCAATATTGTAAAAGATTAATCCTAACACAACGGAACATAGATTTTTCCTAGGAACAATGAAAAAATTTGCTTTGAAACTTTACAAATCTTTGCTTATCAACTTTAAAGAAACTAGGGTCTAAAACTGTAATGAAAATAACTTCATAGCGATCCTAATAACGTTAGGTACAGTGGAGTGAAAATCACTGCAGCTCTATAATACTGAGAAGGCTCAACTTTAAACAAGCAATGTACAGAAGTTTCCATAACATTTGTAAACAATAAAAATGTCCGAATCAATTATCAACCCAGAGACAGAATTAACATAAAAAATACCTTATAAAAGGCGGCAAAATTTACAGTTAATAAAATCCAAATTGTCGAGGAAAGCTCAGGATAATGTAACGAGACTCAGGATGAATTTTTTGTTGACAAAATTGTCAGAAAGAAAGCCCACGTTTTAGTACAATTTCTATAAATTGAGCTGACAATGTCACTTTAAAGGAAAAGATGACAGAATAGTTGGTGTATTAAAGTCCATAAAAGGGGTACACTGTATACTTTGGCTGCACAGATGAAAAAGATACTGCCATAAAACACGTTTGAAAATAGGCAGCGCTTTAATACAAGCAAAGAGAGTATTATAGACGCTCAAATGCTTTCTGCATCAAACTTTTTGAGAAATTTGAACGATGATTTCTTGTTCTAAATTTCTAATTGAAACTTATATACATTTCTGGTATGGTGTCAAGCTTCTTGAAATTGATAATAAACACATATTTGGACTAAAATACAAAATATAGTGTTTGTTTTTGTTTAGTGATAAGATGCACTTTACAAGGCTTATAGAAACAAATCAATAAAATCAATTTAAGACCACAAGATTAAAAGTTTATGACCATTTTGCCCTTTAGAATCGCTATTTGTACATAAACACACGCAATTTTTGTTACTGAATCACAAATGCAACTGCCAATATTCTTGCTTATTCAGTAAGCAATGAAAGAATACGTGAATCATATGGATCATAAAGTACAGCATAGACTGTATGAAAGACATAACTATATACCACATACGATATTCTAACGTCCAATAGAGAATAGTACCACGTAAGTAAGAAAATTCCATCAATAACCCGTCAGGCAAACTAGAAGGGACACATGCCATACATTGTTGCGAATAGCTCTCTTCACATTCTTAGTTTACGGAAGCTTTGAGCTAGAGAATACTGTTTTGGAGTTGATAAAGAAGCATTTGATCTAAGAAGAGCAATGAATGTGACACTGCAAACTTATGAAAAGTTATTTGAAAGATTCACGACACAAAATGTTTGTGCCAAAGGCCTAAAAATTGCAAGCTAGAGGTCGAAAAAAACCAAAATAGAGGCAAAACATCAGACACTTGAAACACATTGCATGATGCAAAGTGTGATATGGTGATATAAAAAGTATAATTCTAACAAAATGCAAAATTTGCCTTTCCTACATAGGAAAAACCAAACAGCGTGAAAGAGACTCAAAACAGATAATGCTAACTTGCAGTTAAGAGAACAAGGACAGCTTGGAAGTTTTATATTCTGAGCTGACATACAATACCAGAGTCAAAATGACATTAAAAATGATGCAGAAACCTGGCTGATCCATCATGGAGACAATAATAAGGAGGAGTGTAATCCGTGTTGATAATAGCATCAAACCGTTGCGAGGCAGTCTAGCATCCTGCTACTGAGTAAAGAGCGTCTAGCAAATTGGCTTTTGAGGCAGATGGATGCCAGAAGACGAATCAATGCGCAATGCAGTTTGGAAGAATCCTGCATTTGCACTATCGTCTAGGTTTATGAAGAAAACGCGGATTATACTGTTTGAATTTACTCTTCTGGGTTAAGATTCAAAGTTACTTCCCAAAATTTAGTGATAAAAAAAATCTTATTTTAACCTGTGTTTAGCAAGATAATGCTTGATATGGAGCTGTTCTAATAGGACCGAAAAGGCTGAAGACATCATTAATAAGTTGCTATTTAAAAATTCAAACATAAAGGCGATTTGATTTCAAAATTAAAGGGAAAGGCCTTGGTGATATTCACAGGCATATGAAAGTGGAAAAATTAATAACTCTTAAATTAAGAGAGAGAATTTAGACTAGCAAATTGCCCTATTAGTTTAACATTGCTGCTAACTGTGCTGGCTAATTAGACATTAATAGTGATAATTCAAAGTTTTGAGCAAATATTATAAGTTATGCGTGAAGTTAAGCTGGAACTATGCTAGTGAAGTTGCTTATTTTCGCTTATTTTTCTTTTAAATTATACATTTATCTAAATTCAAATCAACTCTCTATAAGTATAAATTTCTTTATAAATCTGCATAGTTTTTGAGCATGCGTTATCGTGCTTCAAGTCGCAAAAGCAACAGGTATATAAAATGTCTGGTTAGCTTCTAAAACAAACGAAACACCGTAGTTGCGATATTCTTCCTTTTTTTTATACAAGTTTATTGCTGCAGTTTAAAATATCTTAAGAAAGAGCTATGCATTTGCCTCTGCAAAATCTTTTATCTGCGCATGCAGTCAGAGCATCGCAATCAAGAAAAATTTAGACAAATTAAAAAGTCTTCAATCGAAATGATTTATGAATGCCTCTTATCAGCACAGATCCTAACAGATTCTGCAGAAATCTGTTGTACAATTTTTAAAGTTTATTTACATAGAAAAGCCAGTCACCATTTACAGGCAGATTTAATCTGAAGGAATTACAAAAAAATAACAAGAAAGTGGTAAATCAAATCTGCCAAACAATAACAGTTTTGCGCCGAGAAGTAAACAAAATATGTTGAAGAGAAATGTAATGGAAAGCTGGTGATGGAAAGAATCCTCATCCTAAATAAAAATAAATCTTTATTTAAAAGTTGTATTCATTTAGCGTACAATTATTTTAATTTCAAGTCGTTAGAGAAACCAATGCAGTGGCCTAGCCATTGAGATCCATGTCTTATAGCTTTCTTAAAACATACAAACTCAACATGAAACATTGATAGCTAACGTTGCAGGCCAGCAAGCGCAAAGCAAAGCCATTTGGTCTGCTTAGAAATGAGGCAATGGCATAGTCAAAAAGAAATACGAATATAATGCATAATTACCTGGTACAACCCTCTTTGGTAAATACAAGGGTACCAAATACGATCAACTGCTGTATTCTGAGAGTAGACTGAAGACATGATAACAATGTAGAATGCTAACAGCTCATTTAGCGTTGTATACACAACCCTTCTGCAATGGACCACAGAGCAAATTAAAATCGCATGCGTTAGCTACTGCCTAATCAGACCGAATCCAGAACAATCCAATCAACAAAGAATACGCTAATGTCAATCATCATATAGCAAAGATCGGGATTAAATCTTGAATGAGGCTTAGAAACTGGGAGCTGAAAAGGAGGTTGGCTTTGCATCGTTCGTATTATCGACAAGATCTTGTACATCCTCGAGATAGATTCATATCTTTTCAGAATTACTTGTGATACTCTTTTAGAAACGGAAACGATAAAGGAAGTAAAAAGAAAGGAAAGTATTAAGTAGACGATGATCAGCTTTCTCGCCACACGTAGACTCAAAAGCGTGTACTCAGATTGTACAATACCACTTCTGAAATGCAACCGTGATTCTTCTGAAGGCTACTGTTTTTTATTTCATCAACTGTAAATATAAATGCAAAAAGCCGTTCGGTTTCTTGTCTGTAAATTAAATCATGTTGCTAAGTATTGTTGTATAATCAGCAACGTTTCCGTTCTTTAAGAAAACAAAGCGGTGAAACTTTCACCACATTTTTTCATAGAACTTTTGTTGAATAATCAGAATTCAAAATCCAGTGCTTAGAAGTCACCAAGCCATCCCCTTTATTAATGAAATCTATAAAACAGGTGTTGATTTCACATACATCAACGCGCTCTTTTTGAATAAAGGGCTTCAAAACCCCAATTTTCTCCGTACATTTGCTTTGAAAAATGCAATACAAAAATTAGGTAACCAGGCATGTTTGTTTGATAATTTTTTACTATCTTTATTAAGAATGCAATTAAATTTTCCACTTTTTGAAAGAGGTTAAACTGAAATTCAAAAAGACATCAGAGCTTGACTAACAATTCCTTACTTTATAATCTACGCAACCAGATAAGATGTTATTTTGAGCAGATGTTACTCTTTTGGTAAATACCACATTCTGGCTCTTCGCAGTTGGCTAAGGACAGATGGATGGCAACACGCTTTGCTTTCCTGTGAATAACTCTCTTCTTTGCTGCTTTAATATTTGAGATGAATCATTCTGCACCTTGGTCCATTCTTTGATTTTTATTTTGGAGCCCTGTGTGAATAATAGAAGATACTGCATAGTTAGAGATGGGTCTTTTATGTTTTTAGTCTTAGAAAATTGCCCTATGCTCAGCTTCTAAGTACACTTTGAAATGACCTTTAAAGTAAGCAGGCGGTAAATTAAGAATTCTTCAATGTACCCTTCTAGAAAATTGGGGTGAAGGCAAATCTACAAGTCACGCCACACAGATCTCTTAACAAAATGAATAATTAGTTATCACCAGTTTCCTCTGATTCCTTTGTCAAATATTTTGGTATCTGCGTGCGGCAAGAGCCTATTATTAACAAAAGATTTTGGTTTCTACCTAAATTTGTAAAACAAATCATGAAATTACGGTGGAATATCCAATTGAAGAAAAGTGCCCTAATGTTTAGCGTTCCAATTCTGATTATGATAAGGAACAATGAATCAATATATCCGTTTGCAGGGACAATAAGTTGCTTAATGGTTTAAGTTACCTCATCCATAACTTGAAATAATTCACTAAAAACATAAAAAAACAAGATAGAGAATATGATATGTCAACTTGGAAACGAGGCTTGTTGCAGGGCTAAATGTTTTTAGCTTCATTATTCTTTAACGACAATTTTTAGTTGATGTTGCGAAAATTAGGCATGTGGATTAACAGAATGTCATTCATAAACACTATCAGTGGCTAACAAACATTATTTTTCAATATGAAAAAGAAAGTCATGATGATTATGAGCCCTTTCTCTCGCCATACCCGCTCCTAGCCTTAGACTAATGGCGCCATTATCATTTAAAATCTATATACTCATCTTCTAATGAATTTGAGTTCAATAAGCTAATTGCCATTGACCACCTTAATCTTTCTGATGTTCATTGTCCATGATCGTTTTCGTTTTCTGGTAAAAGCGTCTAGCGTATGGTCTAAGTTCTCAGACGTCAATGATAGCAATAATATGATGGTTTTATTGACAAAACAGTGAGCAAAACTGAATAGATCATTATTAAAGATAATATGTTGCAGCATGCACTGGCTTGTTGCTTAGAAGTCTACCTGCAACCCTTTCAAAAGGTTGCAGTTTCTCCTTTAGGCTGTCACAGACAAAACAATCGTTCCAATTATCATCAGAAAACTGAAAAAGACATTTCAGTAACTTTTATTTGTATTTTCAAAAACAATTATTTCAATATAATTTCAAGTTGAAACTAAGTAGTAGTTAGAAACATCCCCTCTAATAATAACAGGGACTCCATGTGAACCTCGATTTCAAACGGCGGGAAATTCAACTTTGAACGAGCAGCTGTCTCTGCAGGTATCCTTGAGATAGATGAAAGTTAGATAGGCCGGAGCTATGTCGCGAAATCTTCAGGAGTGACACAGAATGTTTCATATAGCAAATACAACTGAACATGCTGATCTTCTAAAATTTGGAACATGGTGAAATATAGAGTTACACTCTCAAACATCTCTTAAAGAAGCAACCAGTCAGAACTAACCAACGATTATCTTTGCTTGATACAGATTACAATCTAGTTTGGGCAACTGATTACAATCTTATCAAAAATTAGCTTGGAATTTGACCCAACTTGAATTTTATCAGCTTTTAGATTACGTCATAAGGTGACTTTAAAACTGGTGAAAAGACTATCGCCTATTATCTTGAAAATTGAAGTAAAATTTTTATCCTCTTCCTGAGAAATACCTGTTACTAATGATATACATCAAAGCATTATACCTTGAACCAAACTTTGTCATTTCACTATCAGGGACTATCATAGTGCTTATAGTTTATTGTGAAGGCTGTACTGTTTTCCCCAATATTTCCGTTAAATTCAAAATCAAGACTATGGAGACAAACCTGGTGTACGAAGATATAAACCCAGGTATATGGAGCCGTAAATCTTGATTATTGAAAGGAAAAAAAAGTAGAATAGTAATGTAAATTATCCAAATGTATGGGTTTTATATGGCAAAGCAGCAAATATACATTCAAAGTCCGGAAATCATTCCTTTAGAAGCAGTTTGGTAAGAAGAAAAACTTTGAGAAAGCTGAAATAGTTGTTCTTTATTAGCAATATGAATTAAGAAAAATAAAACATAAGGACTAATGCCCGAGTTGATAACAATAAAAAGTACCTCGATGATGAATATTGAAAAAAAGCTGAAATGTTGCTTTAGCCAAGCATTTGTATGGCTGTACTGTAAGTTCATCAATGTAGGCCATCTAAAACTGGTTAATAAACAAACGTTTTTAATTTGTTTAAGAGCTTGAATATTGTTTCGTGAATCATTGATGCTTAAAGTTGCTTTAAATGCATTTACCTTTGCAATAGGCCAAACAAGAAAAATTTTATCCATAAGATGTCATTTTGCAAAAAAACACTAAAATCATTTTCTAGCTAGACTTGAAATTTAAGAACGCTTTTTCAATATAGCCTTTATGGTTATGACTCAAATAATCTTAAGACTTGTGGGTTTAAATAAATAGAGACGACATAACACAAGACAATAATAGATAGAGAACAGAGGATTGCTTAATAGAATAATTGTAAGGGGTCTTCGCTTAAGTCACATATTGTCAGTGTCACGTTTAGTCAGTGGAAGTCATTTGACAAGAGTCAATTTCTAGACAGTAGCTGAAATATTGTGATAATTATGCGGCTGTGTTCACAACTAAGATTCATTTAGCATATCAACTTTGGAATGTGTCATGAGAATCACTGTCTGATGAACAGAATATCTTCTCAAATGAAATGCAGACATACAATCTAAAAAGAATTTCAGAAGTTTTTATAGTTTGTTTTCATACAAATTCATGTTCACAAATCAAATACACTTTTCCATAAGCTGGTAAACTATGCTGTAAAAAGCAGAACAACCCAAAACAATAAGCCATGTTAATAACATTTAACGATTTATGATAATCTCTAAATGGCTTGAATATATTTAGCATTGTCAAATGAATCATAGATTATATGTAAGCGCTCAATGAACAGACCGAGTTTATCTGCCCTAGGCTCTATCTGTTTTTAATATCAACCTCAATTCAACATTCCAAATATTTTTTGTAATACGATAGGATCCTTCTTGCCTATAATCGTTGCTTTTACTTTGGGCTACGAACCAAACAATCGGCTTTAAAATGGTTAGATCCATACATGGATATAAAAGTTGACAATACAAAAGGCATCAAACAAAGGTCCATTGTTGTCGTTTTTAGATCTATTGTCTGGTTGCAAAAATTTACTCAGTGTTACTTTTGATCAGATTTTTTGCAGGAAAAGCGACTATATGGCCCGGGGGCGTTTATTTTAAAGTATTTAGGCAGGGTCGAAGAAAAACGTATAGAAATACAAAATTTGTTGGGTAAAAAAACAGCCGTAATTCCTTCCTTCGTTTTATTGTAATGTGAGCTGATTACGATGTTTAGAACTCAAAAAATGCAGATTTTTAAGACTACAAATACACAATTGAAAATTCCGCAAGTTGTGAAGTTGCTGTAAAACCTAGGAACTGCAGCTCTCTTTTAAAACCATCTCTCTACAAAAATGACGAAAAGATTTATCTTTTGAGACAAATATTTTACTCTTACTTGGAGTCTCGTATCAATTGAGATTGCCACTGATGTTCTTGTAAATATGAGGCAAGCTGAGTCCTGATAAAATTATCATAACAGTCAATTAGCAATCTAATAAAACATTAAGCGGCTTGTGACAACGGTCTGTGTTTTAACGATACAGACTTTTATAATGCAATTTTCACAAGCTTGAATTGAAAGTCTAAATTATTT